GGGCATGTGCCCTGACCGGGAATTGGACTGCGATCTTCTGGATCATAGGTTGATGCTCAACTGTTGAGCCATGCCGGCTGGGTGATTATTTTATTTTATTTTTTTAACCAGAAGAAAGCACAGTGATTTTTTTTTTTTTTCTTGACATACTTTCCTCCTGAATGATTTCAGAATGTTTTGGGATGATAGTGATAAACATAGTATTATTTTGTGGTTAAGAGTATAAGTTTTTCTTCTTTTAAGTTTATTTTATTGTTGATACAATTACAGATGCCCCCATTTGCCCCCCATTTGCCCACCTCCACCCAACTATCCCCCCACCCCAAAAAGTATAACCTCTTAAGACTATGTAGGTTCAGTTCTCAACTTTGCCACTTACTAGTTATGTGATCTGGAGCAAATTATTTTTTTTAATGTAACTCTTGCCTCAGTTTCCTTATCTGTAAAACAGGGATTATAACATTATCTACTTTATAGACATGTGTTGAGGATTAAATCATTTTGTAGAAAACAATGCCTACAAGTACTACATACTGAATAACTAATAGTTATTATTAAATATTAGTTATTCATTAACTAAAATAGTATCTTAGTAAACTCTAATAGACTCTTTAAAAGTAAAAACATTTAATAATAAAACTTCAGAAAAATTTTAATTTAGAAAGTTATTTTTAGGCTGGAGTTTGTACTCTGTCACACACAGGTATAGCCTTTTCAAGTTGTAATAGAACAATGTTTTTAAACTTTAATGTGCATACAGATTACTTGGGGATCTTGTTAACAATGTAGATTCTTACTCAGAGGTTTTGGAATAGGCCTTCTAACAAGCCTCCCAGGAAATCTGGATGTGCTAGTCCTTAGAGCATACCTTGAGCAGTAAGTAAAGTTATGGAATGTTCCATGAAATGGTTCTCAGTCCTGTCAGTACATTACAAACACTTGGGTATTTTTTGTTTTTGTGGTTTAAAAAACAAACAAACCTTCGGCTCTATCTCAGACCAGTTAAATCAGATCTCTGGCATTAGTGTTCTGGGCATCATCATCATCATCATCATTTTTGTAGAAAATATTCTAGGTCATTCTTATGTGTAAACATAATGAAGAGCTACTGTTTTAGTGATTTGAAGGAGAGTTGGTAAGCTGAGAAGCTCCATTTTATATCTTTTATTTATTTTACCCTCTATCATTCTTAACACCTGTAGGGACGTTGAAGCGTAGCTGGTCATAACTCTTAAACCGGTTATCAGTTACTTTGCTGGCTTGAAGTTTTCACTAGATTGGACTAAAAAAGTTTCACTCCTTGAACCTTTCTTTATGGATCCTATTTCCTGTTGCTCTTATTATTTTTTGAGATGTTTGGATTCTCCCTAATTTCTCAATAGTTTCCTGAAAGTATAGTAACTCCAAGTCAGTAAAAAACTACTTTAACAAAACCGAACAATGGCAAAGGCAGAAGAATAAAGTTCCTTTCACTTTTCATACTCTGATTTTTTATTATTTAAGGGGGAAACTTGTTTCAGACTTTTTATTGGCCCTTTATGTTTTGGAGCTAAAATGTGTTTCCTACCATGGTATTTGTTTCAATATATTACTTTTTTAGGTTGTGTGCCCTCTTCCTTCTTTCTCAACTGTACTTCTTGCATCTGTTTCCTATCTTGTACCTATTTTGGGGGAGTGGCAGTAAATATCTTTTCATGGACTATCATGTTTTGGAAAAATAATTTCCAAAGTGATCAAGATCATGCTGACTTTTATTCCATATAGCTATGATATATCAGTAAGACTCTGGACAGGGAAACAATCCACACTAGATATACCAAGAAATTTAGTATAGGCAATGGGTTATATAGGTGTTGGAGGGTTGAAAAAAAGAAAAGGGGAACACTGGAGTAACACAGACAATAATTGCAGAAAGCATCAACCACCCAGAGGGCTGGGGGATCAGAGAAGAGCTTGGAGTAAACTTGGGCTCAAAACCTCTAGAGGGGGTATGGCCTGGATGTTGCTGACACTTCTGAGGGTACCAAAAACACTGGTGGCTGTCACTAAGCTGCTGTTGCTACAATTGAGGGCCTATGCTGGGGCTATGCTGACTGGAAAAAGCAAGTTTCTCCTTCTGGTGTCCTTATTGGCAGTAAGAGAAAGCTAGCTGGGAAAAGAAAAATGGTTTCTAGACTTCTATTTTTAGCATTACTGAGCTGAATATTAAAGGGTGCATTTGGAGCTGAGAGACAATAGCTGAATAACCAGCACATTTAGCCTTCTCCTCTCTGCTTACACGGTGACATAGGCTTTTGTTTTTTTGGTCTCTTTCTTAGCCCCTGGGACCCTACATGCTCTTAGTGTCTAGCATTTGGAATAAGAGGAGTTACTATTATTTTAAAATTAACTTGTTTAGTTAATGTGATTTGGAGGTATGAGGCAGGACCGCTTGCTCCAAGGCAGCTCTGACATAGTGTTTCTTAGGATTTAAGATTTAATCATTAGATACTCATTTCTTTGGGTCTTGAGGAGTTTCTGTTTTTCAAGATACTTTATTTAAAAAACAAAGAAAAAATTGTGGCAGGAACAAAGATGCTATAAACCAGAGGTTAAAAATTGGTTGCTTATTAGCCAAACAGTGGCCTGTAGTGGGAACCAATCTTTGACTAGATTATACTTTCTCTCTCATTCTAATATTCTTCTTCCTGAAGAGTTTCTCAAATTTTAATGTGTATATATGAGTTTTTTTGGATCTTGTTAAAATGCAGATTCTGATTGAATATGTCCTCTGGAGATAGGGCCAGAGATTCTGCATTTCTAACAAGCTCTCAGGGAAGGCTGAAGCTATTGGTCTCTGACCAGACTTTTCTTCTCCCTTTCCTGCTTTGAGAACCACTGGTCTGGCTTGGATCCACTTTTGGACCTAGGTTTGGGTGGTTGATTGGTTAGTGATCATAAAGTAAGAGTTTCTTACAAGCCTGACTAACTTTCTAGAAATATTTTGAGCAATCTTAGTTAGAGGTATTAATAGTTGTTTCTTTCTAGGTGGGAAGAGTAGGGCATATGCTTCTGAATAAGTTGTCTTTTCTTCCATGATTTTGATGCTGTCCTGGAATCAGAGTTTCAGTAATTGTGTATATGTTTAAGGGAAACTGACTAATAGGAGATAGGGTAGAAGACTATGAGCAAACCCATGTATCAGATATCTTGCCTTGGTTAAATAGAACTATCTATCGATTTCAAAAATTGCTTTTGGTTTGAATTTCATACTACAGTTTGACCCTTGGACAATGTGAGGGTTAGGGGTGCCTGACCCCCCCATGCAGTCAGAAATCTGCAAATAACTTTTGACTCCCCCAAACCTTAGCTACTATTGACTGGAAGCCTTACTGACAGCATAAACAGTTAATTAACACATATTTTATATGTTTATGTATTATAAATTATATTCTTACAATAAAGTAAGCTTGAGAAAAGAAAATGTTATTAAGAATCATAAGGAAGAGAAAATACATTTACAGTATTTATTGAATAAACTCTGCATATAAGTGGACCCATGAAGTTTAAACCCATGTTGTTTAAGTACCAGCCATAATTGTATTTCCCCACTTTTGACACTTTTGTATACTTAAACTTGTTTTCAAAGTATAGGGTCTTGCCTTGAGCCAAATAAATGGTAATCTATCTTTTTTTTTTTTTTTTAATGGTAGTCTATCTTAATGGAACTTTGAATGTAGCTCAGATTTATGAAGTTGTTAATTGTTCTTTGCATTTGGATTTTACTATACCAAGGCATACCTGATTGCATGAACAAAAAGTTAATCTCTTTTTCAGTTGTATCCTCCAAGATCCTGTCTTTGCCCCCTCCTTCCACCTCTACTGGGTCTTTCCTTTTGTCTTTACAGATAGGTTTTCAAAGATTCTAGGCACTTTCTTTTTGTCTGTTGATACTTTATATGAATGTTATCCTTAAAATTTTTATTCAGGCACTGGTTAATAATTCAGGCTATAAACAGAGAAATGATTGGTCTCTTTATCAGCTGAGGTGAAAGAGTTAAAATGAAAGTTAATGATTCAGGGGACTCCTACAGAATAGAAGGGTGAAAAAAAAGCTCAATTTTAGGATCCTAACAAAGCATTTTGATTGGCATATAGAGACCCTTGCATGCACATAAATGTTCGTATTTGAATATTTATAGAAGGTAATCTGTCAAAATTACTGTTATTTTAATTTGCTAAGCTTGGCTGATTGCTGCAGTTGTATGTTAGTTGAATTCTAGATGAGGAACTGTAAATATGATCTGGTGTGAAACATGCTTTTTATCCTTAAAGCTGTTTGGATATTCCTGTCCTGTCCCC